AACATAATACTAAACAACCAAAAACTACCTCGGGTACATATCTGTAGTACCTGATACGACAACGACCCCATCTGCATTAATAACCTTACAACTGATCAGTGGCAATTATTTGACCTAGAGCTATAACAATACAATATAGGTTATAACAAAACCCAATTGTATAATGGCAATACTCGTTACATATCATTCCAAACAACAATAGGTGTTTGTGATTTTGTAATAGTAAACTGTCCTTCATGATTCAACAATAACGAGAAAACATTTAAGCACTTACTTGAAATTTACAGTAACTCGTGTAACTGCAGGTTTGCCACTGTACCATCTATATATTCTGTGATGTCACCGGAATTACTACAGCAGAGATCTCAATGATATGTATCCGCAGACTTCTGCTGATCGATGGGCAAGGATGCTAGTATCACAAGTGATATTTAGTTCTATTAGAGAGGTATTCAAAGGTGTTACACGTGAGAATAACCGCGTAGTACGCGACCTGCTGCGGTAGGTTGCAGGATGTACATAGCTCAGTTATGTAACAGTGAGCAGTGAAGGCAGGCAGCCACGCACACTCATGTGTGCATGCCACATCACACCACGACAGCTTTCCAGAGAGCTTTCACAGCTTATGAACATACACACCCACGTAGGAATGATTACTGGTCGCAATATGTAGAGAATCGGAGAACGCGTCGCGGGGAGAGCCCCGGAACGCGTCGCTACGCGCGTTTACACACGTATCACAGAACGGGGGAACCGACTTCGAACGAATCAGATCTTGAGCGAGAGTTTTGATTTATCCGCCAGCGTGCGTACAAGCGAGCGGGTTGATCATCGATCGGTGATGTGCAGTTCTTCCAGCCCCATGCCGCCGCCGTGGTGCGACACGCGGTAGCGAGCGAGGTCCTTCCTCGTAACTATGCCGATCACCTGCAACATATGGCAGACACGGTCTCAGCAAAACGTGATGGTGGCGCCATCTATTGATCCGCTTTATTTATTTTTTTTGGTTTTTCATGCGGGCGCTTCAAGGCAGCAGAGGACGTGCAACAACCAATGTAAACTTTAATAGCAGGAGCAGAAGCAGTTTTTATATTCACTATTAGAGGATTAACGAATTTAAGGTTTATTTTATTTCATTTACTGAGACAAAAGCTTGAAGACACCACCCTGGGTGTACCCGAGTTAAAAAGTCTACTAAGTTAAGGAAGAGGAAAACGAAAAAAATGAAGAAGAAGAAGAAAGAAGACGAAAAAGAATGTAAGGAATGTATCATCCTGTCCCCTAGCGCCACCTGGTGGTAGACGTACCTGGTGTCTGCCGTTCAGCACGACAACATGGCGGAGGCCGAGAGCTCGAAACAACCGAAATATCTTCGGCAGTGACGCCTCCTGTCAGAGAAAAGAGAACACGCGTGTAACGCCGCGTTTGTCGCCAGGGCATTCTACGACATGCACATAGTGCTGCAGCGAGTTCCCTTCTTACCGTGGGAACCACCGCCACTGTCCACCAACATCTACGCCAAGTAAGCAAGGCCTGTACGTGCGTGCGTGCGTGCGTGGGTACGTGTGTGTTGTGTGTGTGTGTGTGGATGGGTGCGTGCGTGCATGCGTGTGTGCGCGTGTGCGTGCGTGTGTGTGTGGGCGCGCGTGTGTGTGTGTGTCTGCGTGTGTGTGTGTGTGTGTGTGGTGTGGTGTGTGTGTGTGTGTGTGGTGCGTGTCGTGCGTGGCGTGCGGCGTCCGTGCGTGCGTGCGTGCTGCGCGCGCGCGCGCGTGCGTGTGTGTGCGTACGTGCGGCTGGGTGCGTGTGTGCATTCATTGTAATTCCAAGGTAGTTGCCCCAAAGAAGAGTTGTGTCTATCAAGAGCATCGGAATATATAATTAATACACATTATTATAATTATATTTATAAAAAGACACAACAGACACTGTTACGAACACGTAGACATAAAGTGATAATAATGATGAGCTCTATGAATTTCTATCAGTAGTAGAACCTGATGAGAACGTTTAGTAATGCTGCTGGCATGGTAAGTACAGCCGTGACAAAATACGTCATACCCTCTCTACAAGCACCACTGCTCGCGCGCGGGGGGAGGTGGCAACGTGGGCGGTGAGCGTGACTCGGTGCACCACGAGGGAAGCCATGTTTGTCAGGAGACGAATTTACAATTTTAGCCACTTGCGAAAAATCGCGAGTGCCTAAAAAATCTACGTGCTAAAATGAATTCTAACATGCAATTGTTTTTGTACAACAAACTACTTCTCAATATTCGTTGGTTCCCGCTAGTGTTCGGAATAAGACTATCATTAGTGCAGGGAACCAGCGAAGTTCCGTTGGGCGTGCTGCAAGAAGCGATCGGCATTATGAAAGTGTAAACAGCGTACGGCAAATAACGGAAAATTGAAACTTGTTTAGGCAATTTAACCGACCAGTTTGACCATTAATCATGAAATATATTCTTTCCGTGATCGACAGTGATAATGTATGCGGTGTATGCTATAAATCTCCAATCGCAGAAAATAGCAAGTGCTTATAATTATTTTCTACTCGCAATTTCTCAATATCGACACACATTTTGCGAGTTAGCAATCTATGGAAATTCGAGCCCTGTGTTGTGTTTGCTGTCGTGTAGAGAGGTGATGTCACATCCTGTGGTTGTGTTTGCTGTCGTGTAGAGAGGTGATGTCACATCCTGTGTTGTGTTTGCTGTCGTGTAGAGAGGTGATGTCACATCCTGTGTTGTGTTTACTGTGCACTCGGCAGTTAGATGCGATATTATATGACTACTAGGCACTTTAATTTAATTTAATTTAATTTATTTTTTGGGTTAGGGTTAGGGTTTAGGTTAGGGATAGGGTTTAGGTTAGGTTAGGGTTAGGGTTAGGGTTTTTTTTTTTAAGTGCCTAGTAGTCATATCCTAAGTGCCTAGTAGTCATATAATATCGCATCTAACTGCCGGGTGCGTTTACTGTCGTGTAGAGAGGTGATGTCACATCCTGTGTTGTTTGCTGCCGTGTAGAGAAATGATGTCATATCCTGTGTTGTGTTTACTGTCGTGATAGAGAGGTGATGCTCCATCCTGTGTTGTGTTTTTCTGTCGTGTAGAGAAAATGATGTCATATCCTGTGTTGTGTTTGCTGTCGTGTAAGAGGTGATGTCACATCCTGTGTTGTTTGTTTGCTGTCGGTGTAGAGAGGTGATGTCACATCCTTGTGTTGTGTTTGCTGTCGTGTAGAGATGGTGATGTCACATTCCGTGTGTTGTTGTTACTGTCGTGTAGAGAGGTGATGTCACAATCCTGTGTTGTGTTTGCTGTCGTGCTAGAGAATATGATGTCATTAATCCTGTGTTGTGTTTGCTGTCGTGTAAGAGGTGATGTCACATCCTGTGTTGTGTTTGCTGTCGAGTGTAGAGATGTGATGTCACATCCTGTGTTTGTGTTTTGCTGTCGTGTAGAGAGGTGATGTCACATCTGTGTTGTGTTTACTGTCGTGTAGAGAGGTGATGTCACATCCTGCTGTGTTGTGTTTACTGTCGTGTAGAGAGGTGATGTCACATCCATCCTGTGTTGTGTTTGCTGTCGTGTAGAGAGTTGATGTCACATCCTGTGTTGTGTTTGCTGTCGTGTAGAGAGGTGATGTCACATCCTGTGTTGTGTTTACTGTCGTGTAGAGAGGTGATGTCACATCCTGTGTTGTGTTTGCTGTCGTGTAGAGAAATGATGTCATATCCTGTGTTGTGTTTACTGTCGTGTAGAGAGGTGATGTCACATCCTGTGTTGTGTTTGCTGTCGTGTAGAGAAATGATGTCACATCCTGTGTTGTGTTTGCTGTCGTGTAGAGAGGTGATGTCACATCTGTGTTGTGTTTGCGTGTCGTGTAGAGAAGGTGATGTCACATCCTGTGTTGTGTTTGCTGTCGCTGTGTAGAGAGGTGATGTCACATCCTGTGTTGTGTTTGCTGTCGTGTAGAGACCAGTGTATGTCACATCCTGTGTTGTGTTTGCTGTCGTGTAGAGAGGTGATGTCACATCCTGTGAAGACGCTGCGGGAGGGTGGAGAAGGGTTTCCAACATCGTCTACTACCTACGCGACGAAACTTACAACGGATTCCCCGTCGTTGATGAATACGACCCAGAACACGTGAGTGCCTCGCCGCATTGTCGCCTAAAACACATGACCATCTCACACGTACCGTAGATCTACGCGAACAGGCCGCATATATATAACCAGAACACATGACCATCTCAAATGTACCGTAGATCAATGTGTGATAATGTGACGATAGTATTACATGGAATGTGTCAGACCAGCAAGCTATCAAACTGAACCTCTAGTTATGCACATCCTAATGATAAGCTCTGTGTATAGTAATGGTGTTTGTGCAAGTTTCTCGCGATTAGTCTTTTATGTCAACACCTTATCAATAATAATATATTATAATATTATATATATTATTATATATTATAATAATGCACACCTTATCAGACCAAGGTTATGTGACGATTAATAATTAATATAGGAACAAGGGTAAATTATAACCTACGTGTACATTTTAACTAAATACAATAGTACTAGGAATAAAATTGATCTATGTGGATAAAGCCATCATACTTGTGATATAGTGATATAACTCGAGTAATAATTGATTCATTAACGACGTAATATGAGTGTGACCTGCTTGACTGTTAGCGCTGATTTTCTCTGTGTGTGAGCGGCGGTTGTCTCGTGTGTGACGGTGCATTTGTCATCGTGGTTGACGCGCGGTGTATTTGTCATCGTGTGTGACGCGCGGTGTATTTGTCATCGTGCAGGAAGAGGCGGGTCACCGGGCATTGTCTCGTGATGTTGCCCGGGGTTTTGTTGATAGTGAACATGGGTGCGTTCGGACCGGGAATCACTTCGATTCGCAGCTCTCCCCGACGTGTTCTGCTCCAACATAAGGTGAGAGCGTTTGTTTGTTACCACAAGCGTGATATCATGAATACAAGGTGCCTGTAGATATATCTGCTTGGGGGTCGAGAGTGTATTTCTGCGGTTTTTGCATCGAATTGGTCCTGTAAGAAATTCTGTGTGATTGCTTCGAGTTGGTATTTCAGTATGTAGCGTTCGCGGTTATTACATTACTCACCTTGACATGTCGCGTCAGCTGAGCTATTGCCATGGGTCGTCGGTCGTTCGTAACGTCCGTCCCGTTCGTCCTCGTCAACATTTGTTTCGTCGTAACCGACTAAACTCAGGACCGTTTGAACCCACATGTTGAAATTGGGTGTAGTTGGTTACTGCTATGCTCCATATGGAATGTGCCTATTTTAAAACCGCAGTCGACGTACTATTTTGAGGGCCACGGCAATTTTTTTGCAAAATATTGAATTGCCATTAGCAGTTCAGGTTCAACGATTTGCTCACTTTTTTGGTATGTGAATGACAGTAAGGGCAGGGGTATTTGATATTTAAAAAAAAGAAGCAAAGTTATAGGTAAGGGTTTGGGCAATTATATATGCATATTTATATAGACACAAACAGTCTGTGGTGTCACACTCGTCGTCTGGTTGTTTTGTACAAGATGTTCATTGACGAATCTCTTTAATGGCAAAATGTGGTATTTTCTCTCCACCCCGCCACCCCGCGATAAAAACGTCTATTTAGAGATAGAGTTTACAAAACATGTCGGAACGCCAGCATAACCTATTTATTTCAAAACGCCATTGCTACAAAGCGGTAATAGCGCCATCTAGCGGTCAACAAATGTGATTTATTTGTGTTTATAAATTATTATTGCGACTTATACACGATCGTGCATCGTTTTTCATATAATGTACGTTCAGATGGTTGCCTAAATTAATAACTGAACTTCATTCTTACTCACTCATTTTGTACCTTTTTTGTGGTGAGGCTACGCAGTGGATCATTGACACTTTCATGTTATTCTGTATAGAATCCAAAACTTTTTATTGATTAAATCCATGTAGGATTTTGACCTCATTTTAGTGTAAGAAAGTATAATGTTTATAGAGTATTAAGGTACAATACTAAAGTCATTTGTATTGATGTTTCTCTTGGATCTGAATTTTCTTGAGTTTGATTTTTACGGTCCTTCTGTTGTGAGAATATAAGGATGAATATGTATGTAGGCTGCGTTTATACATTTTTAGCTCACCTTGAACGTACGTCAAGTTGAGGCTATTGCCATGATGGTGCGTCGTCCGTCGTACGTCGTCCGTGCCGTCGTTCAACATTTGCGTTTCGGTCAAGTCGGTAACTCAAGGGAACCGTTTGACCCACATGTTTGAAATTGGGTGTAGTTTTACTGCTATGCTCCCTATATGGAATGTCGCTATTTTTAAACACGGCCAGTCGACGTAACTTTCTTGAGCCCACGGCAATTTTTTTGGCCAAAAAATTAGGAATTGCCATTAGTCATGTCAGGATTCAACGGAATTTTGCTCATTTTTGGTATGCTGAATGAATAAGGCTATCGGGTTTTGATATTAAAATAAAAAGAAGCAAATTAGTAGGGTTTGGCAATTAATATAGCCATACTTATATAGACACAAACAGTCTGTGGCTGTCACACTCGATCTGGTTTGTTGTACAAGATTTCATTGACAATATCTTTAATGCCCAAAAATTGGTATTTCCTCTCCACCGCCGATAACGTCGTATATTGAGTAGAGTTTTTACAAACATGTCGAACGCAGCAAACCTATTTATTTCAAACGCCATGCTTACAAGCGGTATAGCGCCATCTACGGTCATCTC